TTCAAGACTTTAAACAGTATCATTCGGATTGTGTTATCAGTCATTTAGGCGTATTTTAAGGTGTTGAACAAAGCGCACTTGCCAAACCAGTGACAATAGGACGACTTCAAATTATAAAATTTTACACTTAAATTGCGTTTTCATTAAAACACTTTTTATCTTAATTATGTTTTGTCGTTTAAATTGTATTCTTCAGAAAGTGTAGCAATACCTAATAAAAATAAATCAATAACTGTTAATCCGCATTTCATTGAAAGCAAAATTTTATGATCACCTGGTTCAGTTAAATTTTTGTTCTTTCCAATGGTGGACAATCATTATAGGCGTCTGTCACTACAAAGGCTTAAAAGCGATAGTCACTTTATTATGGAGGTTTAATACGTGGGGCAACGTTGCCTCCTATAAAGGCACAGGTAATTTAAATCCATGCTTCTTCCGGGATTCGAAAACCGGGCCCTTCGATACGGCAATTGGTCACTAACCCCTTTTCCATGTGGATGATTGTACTATTAGTTTCCCTCCAAATACTTCTCCGCCAGACCTTAAGGCTGAATTTATTTCCTACAACAAAGCAAGATGGGGTAGGATTAGTACAGTGAGGGGAACGACTAGAATTCTTGTAAGGGATTCAGAAATTGAAGTATTTCGTACCAGGGGAAAGACTTCCTCAAATACAAGCCATTTTGAAGTAAAAAATCCTTCTGGTATTCACACCGATCTGCAAATGTGTGTGTAGTTTGTTTCTTTCAAGCTAGGGGAAATTTTCTTGACTCTTCACTACTGAATATTTATTTTCGATTTTTCATCTTATGGGGATCGGCGAAATGGCTGAACAAAAAGCACAGAAGTGATTATCGTCATCACTCGGAGTTCTACTTAGCAGAGCCTATGTTTAGGCATTACCTAAGCCGTGATGTTAGATTTTGTAATGTAAACATTAATTGGATTGTTTGTGCATGTTGGTAATCTGTTTTTTCCGCCAACACTGATGCACGTTAATTTCGTTTTCCCTCCAAGGCCATCACATAAATACCGAATTTCCTATTGACATAGCTATCTCTGGACTCTTGCCAAAATATTCGCCAATATTTAACCAAGTAAGTGTTTGATAATGATAATTAAGTCAAAAACTCATCTCCCGCGATTAATGTCATTGGAAAATCGCGCTCAATGTACTCGCCCAGTTGCAACCAGAATCCTGAAGTTCAATCATTCTTTAACAATTCGGGGATACCAGATTCTTTATTCGTGGATCCCTGGACACGTTGCCATTAAGGGGAATGAATTGGCGGATATTGTAGCTAAAACTGCAACCACAATGTACAATCTTCAGATTCCACTAGCAGACATCAAAGGGTTTGTCAAAAGTAAAATTCTCAGCAAATGGCAGAAGCAATGGGATGACAAAGTACGAGAAATGTAAAACCCACCATTGGATACTGGCCATGTATGGCTAATAGAAGGGAGGATATCCTCTTGACTCGACTGAGAATTGGCCATTGTTGCCTGACCCATGAGTATTTTCTGAAGGGAGAAGAGAATCCCAGCTGCCCAAACTGCAAGGCAGATCTGATAGTCCATCACATCTTGGTGGAATGCCAGAGTTTTAATTATTTTCGCCCAAAACATTTTAATTGTTCAGAACTGGACTTAGTAAATTTAATTGGAAAAACACATCATCGTAATTTGTTTTTAAAAGATATTGGCTTTTATAATAGACTTTAACCTGTTTTTTAAAAGATATCAGCTTTTATCATAGACTGTAATCTGTCTCATTTTACCTAAGCTAGAAGTTTTTACAAATGACTAATTGCATTGTTACCATTTGTCTGGCGCAGATAACCTTGACAGGTTTTGTGCCAAATTACAATAATCCAATCCAATCTATCTCCTGCGAAAGTTTTCCTCAGAGCTTTGCCTTTTTAAGAACTTTCTAAGAAAAAATCGTATTTACTTTACATCTGAAAGAACTACAAAAATCCCATATAGCCAGCCCTTTTGCCTTTATTTAAACCCGAGAGGTTCCGAATTCGTGTTCAACAATGTTACCAGGTCTTCTAGGAAACATGTTGAATTCCATAACGGATATTCAGAGAACGAAGTCTTTCTATAGTCATCTCATACTGTTGGCTCTTCAGATTATCAACTATAGCTATCGTTTCTGTGATCGTTTCGAGAAGTCTGAGTCGGGCACCATTGAATGATGCGTTATTTTTCAAGTTAACCAGCTAGTGTCTCAATAATTGCAAATTCAGCTAAGTATCCGATTCCTTGTTGATTGAAATCTCTTTGGTCATGCAACTGTTGTAGGAACCCTTTTGTTGTAGGAACCTATCTCGAGGGCCGTAAAAAATCGCCAAACTATTGTTGCTGCCAAAAATAATCGCGGCAAGAAAGGAAGTATAATAGTAAATAACTATTTAAGATTGATGTTTTAATTTAGATGAAAGGTTAATTTCATATAATACTTTTTTTTTATTATTATAATTCATATGAAAAAGACTAAACATGACTGAATGGAAGCATAAGAGTAAATAACTCTTTCAGATCATTATAATTTATATAAAAATTGCTAAACATACCTGAATGGACACTATTTTGCTACCGACTTATCCCTAAAGCATAATTTCATCTCGTTGGTTGTTCAAACGTACATTTTCTATAATGAATGAGGCCTTTTCTTTGGAAATATTCTCGGTAAAGTGCAGAATCGCTCACTTATTTGTTTGCCGCTTTTTACAAGGGTAAAACAATTGGATTTTTTCTCAATTTTCTTTTACTTTTTAAGTGAAAATAGGTCGATGTGTACATAGATAAAGTCAAGGGTGTGCGCCGTGCCATTTTTATGCAATTCCAGGATGTTTTTAAGTGAAAATAGATCGATGTGCACATGGATACCGAGTATGTGCAATTCTTAAAAATGCGTCAAACAGTGGGTGATTCTGCACTTTACCCAAAATTCTATTGCCGAGTTTTCGTCATGGGCAATTCCCAAAGTTTTAAATCCGTAGGATATCAAAAAAGGATTTAAAATCATAAAAGGATTTAAAAATTAAACTAGTATTTCAATGGCGTCTTTAGAATAATAAAGAAATCTAGAGCTATATAAACTTACGCAATCTGAAATCAGCGCGTACGCTAGATTTGGCGCGCTGTTAAATGGGCGGGTATGCTAGATTTGGCGCTTTTGCGCGGACATTTTCGCTGCAATTTTTTTACGGCCCTCGAAACCGAATAGTACCCAGTTTTTTACCTGTTCATTATTGCAAAAGTTAGTCCAGAAACTATAACCTATGGAAACTGCGAGACCTTTACACTCTTGCTGTCAATCATTTCTTCAGGCTGTAACACACATCTTCTACAATCGACATTGGTGGCGTTTTCTAATCAGCGCAAAGATTGTGTAGCCACATTCAAAATGCGAAGTTTGACTATGATAATCGAACTACAGAATTATGCTTTATCCCACCTCGTGCTTTTCTCGGTTGAATCTTTGAGTCAAGATGCTTTGCTTTCCCTTCAACTCGCTTCCTCATTCTAAATACTAGAAACTTCTTAACCCGGCTCACAATTGAGCGAGGACTAAGTCGGCTAAATCTCAAACTATTTAGTTTGCTTCATTTTCATCTGTGTGGAACTTTAGAAAGTCATTCACGAAGGAAATTTTTGTGGATACCTTTTATGTGGTTATTAATTCAAACCAGTCGCTTTATTTTGTATTCTCCTTTCACTTTAAGATGTACACTCTACAGTATCTCATCTCCCGTTCTACTGGGCGGATTGCTGAAATTTAGCTATCATTTTTCGTGTCTCTAAACCGTGATTCAAGGTATGTATCTGATGTATATAGAACATTGTTATAACAGGTGATTTTCACGCAAAATCAGACATTTTCTGGAAGGACATACCGAGTTTTCCATATTTCGCTTCTATGATTGAAATTATGCCGAACATTCAAATTTTGTAAAATTTAGTGAGAAGCTGCGAGCAATTAAAAATTTTACTTCGTGCACTTTTTCCAGTTTGTGCCAAGAATAATTCTCTTGATGAAATTCTCAATTTGTAGTAGCCTATTTTCATTTTTTTTCCAGTTGAGCACAAGCGGAGGAAAAAGGTGCATTCTTCATTCTTTCAGATAATTTTAACAAAGTGCGTAAAGCACATTTCGAGTTATTCTTTATAACAAATACGCCAAAGTTAAAAACGAGCCAATGTTTAAATTCACGTACATGTTTGGAAATTAATAATTAAAAAAAACCTAACTTTTTGCACGCTTTCGAACGTAAATTTCTAATTGTGAGAGAAGGAATCAAGTAGGTTTTAATGAAAGATATTAATAAATATATACCAAATTCATGTAACACTGAGGAACTAAATTTTTGGAAGCTAACGTTTTAAAAACTACTCGTGCGAATTAAAAAATCTTGCAACTTTGTCAGAATTTAAATCGTAGAATCGAAATATAGAAAAGTCCGATTTTGTATCGGAACACCTATGAGAGAACAATGCTATATATAAATCTAATGTATATACTAAGTCGCACTATGAAATTCTCAAGTTAAATTTAGTCAATCGGCTCAATAGATCAGAACTGTCACCTCTTCTTGCAAGGGATGCTGCCACAGCAGGGAAACTAAACTGTCTCTGCAGAATGGCGTGGACAAAGCTTTATTCTGTTCATCCAATCTTGTTACATAGTTCTGTTAGTTGACTGCAATAGTCATAACCTTTTTGAAAGCCTTTAATGTTAAAATTACAAGAGGGAAAATTAGTAATCGCGATGGGAAGCCTAATACCTAATAACGCATTTTGTATTGAAGTGGGTACAAAGAGTAAGAAAACATTAAATGAACAAATGTTTTCAAATCATTACTCATGAAGTGTAAAATAATTTTGATATTTTTCAAGTTATTTTTACTTAATATGATCTGTTTTATCTTTCAAATTCAAATAAAGTATTGGACGTTTTTTTCATGAAGACTGCATTCCCTTTTTTACAGGCAAATCGACTTTGTGTAACTGGATTAACAGCAGTATCAGTGGACATAAGGAAGAATGGTTTTATCACATATAGAGGGTTTTGTAGCTTTCTTGCTCACGACGTTTGTGGTGCTTGCGGTAGCAGTCCTTATGTATTGTCCTCTAATCGGTACGCTGTTTCAATGGATAAATGGCAATGGTTAGTGAGTAAAATTTGTTTAACTTAAAATTTGTTCATAAGACAATGTAAAGCATTTAAATACATAAATTTTAAACTAAGTTTTCTAAAAGACGCCTAATTAGACTATTAAATAGAAAAGCATAATTGAAAATTCTGCCAAGAGAATGTAGATAATTGATGCAGTTGTTGATCCTGGCTGCTTATCAAGCATTTAGAAAAAACACTCAAATCTGTTTTTGTGGGGTGGATAGAAATCTCGTAAAAAATCTCACAAAACTTCACGAGAAAGCTATTAAAAATGGAGTCGTTTTAGAGTTTATATTCAGTTACCATGCAGTTAGTGATCAGGTTTTACGATGATTATATATGTCTTCGGTAGCCAGGTATACAAAATTGAAGCTCCTTTTTATTATTTATTTTAGTGATAACTTCATCAGTTATGTTACAATTTGATTCAAATTTTCATATACCACACAAATAAATAATCGCAAAAAAATATTTGAGTGTATTCAGATGCCTTCAGGAATCCAGATTTAAACTCTTCCAAACAGTATTTGGCAAGAAACTGAATTTTAAATTCTGAAACCAAATAAAATTTTCTTTAGAACAGCATGTAAACATAGCAAGGCAAAATTAGTGGAGAAAAACTAATTTAAAAACAATCTCGCTCTGGCCATGCGAAAGCGATGTACTATAGTTTTGAAGGCTAACAAGAATCTAATTAAAAAGCATAAAACGAAAATCTGAATTCTTTTGGATTTCATATCCAAAAGGGGGAGGTTTTTAAGGTTTTGTGTATTAAGTTTATTAAATATCGCGGTGTTCGCCACATAATTCAACAGATGACAATTTATTCAAAAACAGCCCATTTTAGAATTCCCGCTAGTCTAGCGCGCTGGCGATAAAAATGTTTCTTCTCGTACAATGTTGCCATTGCTCGCTTTTAAATCGTTCAGTTTGTTGATCAAGAATTCTAAAGTTTTACAAAATTTGAAATAGATAATATAACAAATTCAAAATTCGGGCTTCCAAGTACCCATGTTCCGTTGCAGGACTAAGTTATTTCAAAATTTAATGGCTCTAGGTATCTTTGTTTTTTCATACTGCAAGAAACATTCAAGCATTCATGTAGATTCATTTTCTTTATAACACATGGCGATAACATTTCTTCGCAACAGTTTGAAAAGTTAATCAACGCAGGAAGTGAAACGACGCAAAATGCAGTTTTGAGAATAATAGCTCTTTGGGTCTAACGTCCCTTTGGGCTAAATAATAAGCACGTTAAAATTTCCATTTGATAGAATTTGAAGTGCTCAATTGCGCATATATAAGGGTTTTTCCGTCCAAAAGGCAATACATTATATTGAATTTGTTCTCGATATTTTGAAAAGCGAAAGGGGAACACTGGGTAAACGTGTGTAAGAAAACTGCTTTTTAAGTTTGTTTCAACCATGTGAAATTTTCGATTTATTTACAGAAATAGTGTTGGGATACTTTGAGTTAGTATAATTATTTCCTCCTTTATCCTTAAGTGGAGTAAGACTAAATTTGGCTCCAAAATTCGACTTTCCGTTTTTGATATCAAAAAGGAGTTTTAGCTTTCCCAGTTTCAAATATATATAACGTGTTTATTTTAAAATGAAAGATGCTTTCCGATTAACATAAAAAGTTAAGACAAACCTGCACATATGTCCTGCTCTGCATCTCTATGAGGATATGAAACCTGTCATATTTAAGCTGTTATACATGTCCTCTGGAAGAGATTTATCTATACAGCTAAGCCAAGGCACAAGAGGACCGGACAGGGGACGTAATTTAAACAAATGTTGAGTTACATGGGATACAAGACCTTTGAAGTGAGCAAACTGGAATCCTGTGCTGCTACAAGTGAACAGTAGATCGTGGATATCATAGGAACTTTTTACAGGACAATTCTCAAAATATTTACATACTATGTACAAGACAACATGAAGCAAATACTGCGTTACAGGTTAATCATTACGTGCGATAGCTATCTATTGCTTTGTAGTTCTACATTAGGAGCAATGTGCTGAAGTCCTATTGTAGGATTATCATGAGGTCTCTTTGTATCAAAACATTTGTACAACACGTTGTGAATTCTACAACGCTGAGTAGTTTTTAATACTTGCCCAATTGTAGATACTTTTAGAAGCAGTAATCTCAAATAGCAAATTTGTAAATTTGTAACACAAATTTGTAATTTGTTTAATTATTATCCGATCCTAATTTTTCTCTCTTCTGATGCTTTTGCTCTTATGAATTTTTTAGACAATTAATATTTAATTAAGAAATATGATCAATAATAGGAGAAAAATATTATTTTTCTCCTACTATAAAAGTAGCACGTTTGTTTTACTTCCTTACCAATGCTTTTATCAAATTTTGAAAACTTTTCAAGTAAACAAAGAAAGTGATATTTGAGTGAGAAATTTTAAATAAAACTTTTACCGAAAACTGCAGAAAGACGCGAAGGAACTGACAAGCCTTTCTGAATATTGTCAAATGAAATTTAGTAGCAAGATGTTTAAGGAACATTTGTGGAAGTGTATCGGATGAGCTGGACCATTGGATGCCGGGCCACAATGTTGTGATAGTTACTGGTTATACTGGTGCACGGTTAAACAGATTCTCTAATTAAAATGTAGTACTCGTCAAGACGCTCTTTGTTTGAAATAAATGTATATAATAATTCAAACATAAGCGCGAACATAAAATGAAACTTCTCCCTTTAAATAAAATGTAAAGCATAACTTTCAAATCATTTGACGATGCGAACAAAAATTAACAAAAAAAAAAAAAAAAAAAAAAAAAAAAAAAAAAAAAAAAAAAAAACACAAAATTTTTTTTGTTTTTTTTTGGGATGGGAGAGGGGGGCCCCCCCCCCCCAGCACCCCCCCCCCCCCCCCTCCCCCCCCCCCCCCCCCCCCCCCCCCCCCCCCGCCCCCCACCCCCCCCCACCCCCCCCCCCCCCCCCCACCCCCCACCCCCCACCACCCCCATCCCCCCCCCCCCCCCCCCCCCCCGCCCCCCCCCCCCCCCCCCCCCCCCCCCCGCCCCCCCCCCCCCCCCCCCCCCCCCCCCCCCCCCCCCCCCCCCACCCCCCCCCCCCCCCCCCACCACCCCCGGGGTGGTTTTTGGGGTTGTGGGTTGGGGGTGGGGGTGGGGGTTGGTGTTTGTGAACCAAAAACAACCAAAAACACAACACACACAGAACACCAAACAAAAACAAAACAACACACAACCCACCAACAAAACAAAACAACACACCCCCTCCCCCCCCCCCCCCCCCCCCCCCCCACCCCCTTTTGTTTTTTTGTTGTTTGGTGTTTTTTAGTTTTATTTTTGGTTTCCCCCCCCCCCCCCCCCACCCCACCCCCCCCCCCCCCCCCAGCCCCCCCCCCCCAACCCGACCCCACCCCCCCCCAACCCCCCCCCCCCGGGTGGTGTTGGTTGCGGGGGGTTGTTTGTTGGGTGGAGGTTTTTTATTTTTGATGGTGGGGGTTGCGGGGGTTAGTTGTTGGGGTGGTGGGGGGTGAGGGTGGTTGTGGGGGTGTGTGGTGGCCCCCCCCCCCCCCCCCCCCCCCCCCCCCCACCCGCCCCCACCATACCTCCCCCCCCCCCCCCCCCGACCCCCCCCCACACCCCCCCCCGCCCCCCCCCCCCCCCCCCCCCCCCCACCCCCCCCCCCCCCCCCCCCCCCCCCCCCCCCCCCCCCCCCCCCCCCCCCCCCCCCCCCCCCCCCCCCCCTAATAAACACTGGATTGTATGAAATTGCGTTTATTGTTCTCAAACCAAAAAATAAAATTGCGAATAAAAGATGAAACAAATCTATTCTCATTGCCAAAGCGCGAGCACTCATGTGATAAAACTGTGCTCGTAAAAGCAGCGCCATTTGCATGAATTATATAAAGATTATGTATTTAATAGATGAAGGTAGAAATTAGATCTTAGTTTTAAAATTGAGGCCTGGTGGCGCAGTCGCTAGCGCGTCGCAGTGTAGCACCACAAGTCCGGGGTTCGATCCTTGGGCTGGGTAAGGTTGACTCAGCATTTCTTTCTTTTGAGTGGGTTGATAAAATGAGAACCAAGTTGCTTGGGCATAACCCGTTTCTCCTGCGACAACGACACTTGTCCAGCTGAAATGCACAATCACCCGGAGCATAGGTCTAGAAATCGGAATCATGGCCTGCAGGCCATAGATATCTAGGGTTTTGTGCCTCGATTTTTTAAAATTACAGCGATAAAAGGTTTCAATTTTACTTCGAAATTGAATTACCAGGTTTTAATTAACAAGTTTTCCTATGTAGGGGGGGCCCACCAACGGGCGAGCGTAAAATCGCGAACTGGTAGTCGGGTTGAGTTCGAATCCGCGAAGGGTGGCTGATGGCGTTTCGTTGTTTTTCCAGTTAACGTTATCGAGCCAGTTCCCTTAAAATCTCCACGAGGCTCCTTTCTTAGGCAATAGTCCTAGTGGCTTTGCGTATGCTCAATACATTATCTAAGGGAATCGTACACCTAAAACTAGTTCTTCGATATGCGATTGTTCGAGAATTGGGATAAACTATTTATTTTAAAACATACTTCCAACTTTTTCAGCTGCCCATAGATAGCTGCTTCTGAAATGTAATCAAAGCTGTGTTGCCGCAAATTTTTATAGTAATCCGCAGTGGCAATTTTTCGTCAGTTTCCACTTGGCGCACAGTTTAAAACATCTGTTGCAATTAATCCATATTTAATATGCTTCATAACTTGGAAACTAATGGAACAAAAATCCAAGATTCATGTTAAATTTTTATTTCATTTGGAGTTAGTTTAGAAAATTATTTTATAAAACAATCTCATGTTTTCGTCCATAAAATTAATATTAAATATCATCAGATTTGGGTTCAGATGAACATAGGGCCCCTATAAAATTCATCAATTCAATATGTTCATTAGCATTTTAAATATGCGCGCAGGTGAAACATGACGAAAACTTTCACAAAGCAATAAATTCAAAAATATGGTGGCAACACATTTCTGGTTATTAGTTTCCAAAGCAGTATATTATTAGTCAACTGCAAAAGTTGGAAGTAATTGCTTTTAAAATAAATAAAATATCCCAATATTTGCAACAGTCACATATTCGAAGAGTGTTAAGGGGTTTAAGGTGTATGAGCCCCCCTTAAAATCTCTCCTACACTCTGCTTTTCCAAGTTATATGCGTATTAGAGTAACCACTTTGGCCCAAGTGTGCGATAATTCTACAGAAGAAAAATGTGATTCGGTGAATTATTTTTTTAGTTTGTAACTTGCAATGGATATGGTTACGTAAGAAGTTATGAACATGGTTGTTAAGAGTTTGGCAACTTTTAACGAAAGTGATTGCATTAATACTTAAGCACTTTATAATGTATGAACGTAATTTATAATTTTGGAAAAACTGGTATCACCAAACAGGATATCAATTTTAGTAGTTTTCTTTGTTTTCACTGAACCATTTTCTTGCAGGAAATCGTCCACCAAATGCTGATGGCAATAACCGGGATCCATCAAGGTCTGAATCGGATAAAGATTCTTCGTCTAAAAAAGAGTAAGGATTCTCAGTTCTAAGTAAAATTGCTTTTGATTGGATGAAGGCTCTTCTGTCAAGCAAAGCAGAGATTCTTAAGCTAATATGATGATCATTGAACTAATCAAATATTCTGGACCGTATTAAGACTATCTTGCTGAATTGTGTGACTCTTTTGGACAATCGCATAAATATTCCCGATCAGTCCGATTCTGATCATTTTGCTGGATTATAAAGTATCGATCTTCGATAAAACTGGAGACGAAAACCTGCACTGGATCTTCCATTGAAGAACTTGGGATTTCAAATGTCATGGACGCAGTAAAGCGGCTGTGAATTCGGAATATCTTCCGAAGAAACATTTAAACTTATGAAACTTCTTTTTAATATTTTGCATAATTTTAAGCATTATTAATAATTATTATTGAATTAAAACTAAATCAATGCTAATGGTGCTGTTTAAGTCTTTCATTTCCTTTTCAAATCGGTAACTGATTCTTAGTTGCCAGATTAAACACATCTTGTATCTCGCTTTACTAAAATAACTTTTAAAACGTTTTTGCCAGCAGATTTGCGTTAAGATTTTCTGTATGAAGCTATTCGATGACTTCTGCTGCTTTTTCTTTTGAAACATTAGCTTAAATGTGCGACTCGTGTGAATACTGAAATGCTCGTATTATTGAAACTCAAGGATTTAGGAACTAGTAGAGTGAAATTAAATCGCACGTTTATTTTTTTGGTGTGTTTTTCGTCGATCTCAGAAGGAGATTCTGAAATGCCGTGGTAACTTGGTAACATCAAACCTCTTCTAAGTCGATCGCCTTTAAAAAACTCTATGATCATTCTGACAACATAAAATTCGACTTGCATACTCAATTGCCAAATTCTTCAGGTCAGTTAAAATTATGTCATGAAGAGAAGAATAATATAAAATCGTTCTAATAACCAGATCCGTTGAAATAAATCCACATTTAACAGGACACATTTCAAAATATAAGAATCCCCGTAATCTTCTTTAAGGATCATTCAATTAAGAATGAACACTCTTTGTTAACGAAAAGAAGTCTTCTAGTTAATAAGCCTTAAAATGGATTCAACACAAGTTTCATGAGGCTGGACAGCTCTAAAAGAATCATTCTGTTGCCAAATGGTTACATTAATGTGATTAGAACTACCCGTGGTATATTAAGTGATTTTTAAAACTCTACTCTTCAAGTATACCTGGAAATTGTAGATGCTCCGAAATTCATTTTTACGACTCATCAATTTGTAGTCCAAAGTAGCTAAACCATACAGTGTTCTTCGCCTATTTTCTAAATTCATTGGACCTCGGGTATTGTAAATTGTACGTTTGAAGGCGACGAGGGGACATATGTTAGATTGTTTTAGCCGCCATTTTTATCTGACTTTCATGAACTTGAAAATCCGCATTGACAATGCCATCGCATTAATATCACTGGATGTGTTTCAAAGTGGAACATTTTCCTCAAATGGCTGCCTATGTCGCGAGATAAAATGATTTTTTTACGTAGAGCAGTTGTCCTACAGATTTGGAGATCTAAATTTAATGTGTCAGTGGTACACAAATTGTTTAATTACAATTTGTAACGGGATTCTTCTCAATTTACCCACCACATCCATGCATTAAGTGTTCGAGATACTTAAAAGATGGACAACGAACATAAAATCGAGTTACCTGAAAAGTTCATTTAAAAATTGTAAACGTTGTCTGGAAGTTATTAGGTTAACTCTTTGAGGAACAGGAAAAGGCAATCAACTTTTTCAGCAAAACTCTTGTTTTATTTACCATATCAGACGTTACAAACAATGAAATTATTTGCCACAATTACACGTATTTTGTCGAAGAGGCGTGAAAAAAATGATCTTCTGGTGGTTAGTGTCGGTGACCACCGCTCACAGAACACATCCCTACAAATCAGTCTCTATGGTACTCATGAAAGCAGTTTCTCTTTTTCAATTAGAGTGCAACTTTGCATGTGCTGCATTCCCACACTGTTCTTACAGGCTTTTGCTTGGTGCTGCAGAGTGCACATCTTCGTGATGTTGTCTTCGATGGCTGATGCTTATTTTCTTGAAGACTAATTGCTGCATCAACTACTGGCTTATGCTTCTTGATTGCCATCTAGTGAGCTACAAAGGAACTTCAGAAACGGTCAGTCTCGAAAACCTGGCCAGCCACATCAGGAAACGAGAAACATCAAATACTATTAAATTAAAACATGAGTGGTTGACGGATTAATTATTTTAACTCTACCAATCCCAAACGGGGCCATCTTTCTACCTGGAGAGTTGTGCAGGCTTGCGTGTACAACTCTTCAGGCAGAAAATGACTCATTGGTGTATTTGGGTGTATAATATGACTCACTGGTGTGGTTTGTTTAGTTGAATGTAAGCAAAAGACAGGATGAACATGTCTTTAAATGAAGGAAGGCCTTATTAGAACATGTAAGTGAATAGACACATTCTTTTATTGAAAAACTACAGAAATGTCCATGGAACCAGCCCGTTCGCCAGGAATTGGAATACCAAGATCTTATCCATACGTCCAAGGTTGGCTACATTGCTTAATGGAAGCAGGTTACTTGAAAGTCCAATCAAAGGAAAGAAAGATATTAAACTGTAATGAATATTGTATTTTTATTCCCTCAGAAAAGATTCAGATACTGATATTTATTTACTGATTTACTAAAATGAATTTTATATATGATTACAGCATCGACTGAAATTTAGAATTTGAGCTAAATATGTCTTTTTTTTTATCTCGGTTTGCTGTTGAGTTCAAAAAACTAAGATTATAAAAATCTTGATGCTCCTTTTAGGTTTATAATTTCAGGTGAACAGGCTTACTGCATAGTCGCTTTCGTGGTTTTTCCCATTTGTGTCGTATGTACGAGCCAGTTTCCCTTAGAAAGTAGTTTACGAAGGCATCCCTCCCCTTAGGCACATAAATCTAGTGGGCGTTACCGTAATCAACCAAACCTCATTTTAGGCAAACAGAACTAGATTAATTCACTATATTCAATAAAGTATTCGATCTTCGTTCTTATAACCAGTTATATAAAGGACTGAGATTAGATTTTTCGATTATGGCAAAGCATATTAGTTTCTTAAGACTGTCGTACTGGAGATCTTTCTAAGGGAAAATTCGCATACTCACATGGAAAAACCATAGAAGCTTCTTGCAATCGATGTACAGGGATTTGAGGTATTAGTCAGGGTCTTATCTTTTGCTTTACTGGTTGGTGTGTGTGTGTGTGTGTGTGTGTGTGTATATGTACCAGATACTAAATATGGAAAGGCTTTAATGGTGTTTTTCATTTTTGTCTAATAAGCCAGTAAAGCCGAAAGGAACAACGTATGGGAGACTTGATCCTCTTTGTTTGCCTAAATTGCGAACCTAGTGCCAGAACAAGATACGGGATGTCTTGTTCTGGCCAAAAGTGAAAATCTCTTATCGGATACATGATTGTTTTTACATTGTTTGTTACAGCTGCAATGCAAGAGTTGGTAATTTCGTATTGGGCATAATTGAAATAGATTCGTGAAACTAGATATAGACTAAAACATGGAATTATCACTGAAAACTGAACAATAAAACTATAACAAGTTACGACAAAGGCCCACTGGAGATGCACCAGAGAGACTGCGAGGACGAAGTTGGGCCCATTTCCAAAACTAATTGGTACAAAACTATCATAACAAAAGCCGGCACGGACTACTAAAGTTTGCGTAAAGCGTACGAGGCGCAGTGAAACAACGTGGAAATGCAAAAAAGTGTAAAGTTGCATTACATATCGTGATTGTTTGAGAAGTGCCATACACTGAATTATTTTAAACTACCTATCATTGATTTAAAATGTCGGTAATGAAAAGGTGAACCTCCTAATAAATTTAAATAAAATTTTGACTAATACATTATTTAATTTATGGATAAAACTATTCTTATTTCCTTCTACACGCAATAAAATCTACACTTTACGGAGAAAATAGTATTTAAGATTGAAAATTTTTACTTTTCCTGTTATATAACCATAAAATTTTTGTAAGAAATAAAAACATTAATACATGATTTCATAAAAACGAAACAAAAGTACAATTACAAATTCTCTGGTTTTATTAAACAGTAAATGCAAATCAAAAACCAGTTTGCGCAAAATTTAATCTATAATAAAACTTGTCACGACGCATGAGAAAAGCTTTTTCGGCTCGAGAGTCTTCTACCCCTCTTCTCCTACTATCAACCTCTAGCCAGGAATTTTGACTAACAGCATATTTAGAGTGTCCCTCTGCCGCACAGACACTATACAATTTACAAACATCCATGCCTACTCGGGGATTCGAGCCCGGGCCCTTCGGAACGAAAGTCAACAACGCTAACCAATACACCAGTCGGGTGGCAAAATTCCCATGCAGCCTACATGGGTGCTGCAGTTTCTTGTTCAGGTCGAAATACTAGTGTTTAGCAGTCTTAAACACTCGTCTGCTGTTGTTCCTCACAGAAAGTGTAAAAATTAGCATTTAATAGACATCGAAAGGATTTTTTTAAAGAAAAATGGGAAATGATCGGTAATTATTGGTAACATTTACAGTAAAAATTTTTAGCTTAAACGGAAATGTCCTAATATATGGTTTGAAAATTTAGGTAAAGTATGTAAAACATAATATAACATGATTTCTTGGATGTTAAGAGACAAAGTATTGTTTTCCTAAATTTGAATTATATCTTATAATTAATTCTTAGGAATTAATGGATTCTTTTTACTTTAGTTCACATGGTACTCATGCTACTAACATCCTTTCTAAAACGTTGGTTTTCTGAGAATGGGCGTCTCGGAATTTAAATGGCGAAAGTTATTTTCTACTTTATTTCTAATAACATTCACTATGATGCGACTTTACAAAATTGGTCACATTTTTGCAACTGACATTTTTCTACAGAGCTGTGGAGGTAATTTGAACCAATTTAGTGATTTTTAGTATTGCATACGTAGCAAAAGAAAAAAAATATTTTAACTGTGGTATTATAAAAATTTGACGTGAACTGAGTTGCCATTTTATTGGTGCCATTTTTATGCTGCTGTTTGCTTATACAGAGATCTAGGAATTTAGTCAGATGGGATAATCCAGATGATACTAACTGAGCAGTGCAATTGCGCCAGTCACAGAACGTAAAATTTATATTGAGATAGGTAGGTGAAAGTCGTTCTCTGTAGTAAATCGTCATTCCCAGTACCGAGTTTGAGTGGTAATCATACACAAACGCGAACCTCATCAAAATTCATTATATCTATCGGATGGAAAAAGAGCGTTACTTATACAGAGAATGATTTCAGAGTAGACAGCTATCGACCTGCCAGGCATTCGAGCACATTAACCAGGAGATTGGATCGTTCCATACTAGCAGCATGATGTGGGCAGAGAAGGGATTG